ACCTTTCATTTTTTTATCAGTCAAGTATCAATAGTTTTTGTTAGTTGGAAATAACTTCTTTTCTTTTTTTTCATCTTTCTCTTATTTCTGCTAACCGGTACCAACAGTAAAGTTTCGCAAACCAATTTTGTTCTGTTATATTTCTAAGTATTGTTTTATATATGTATGTAGTTATAGTAGGAATTGAGTTTTCAAGTTTTTTAGTACAAAAAAAGTTTTTTCGATCTTATTTGTTATTAGCATTTTGGCTAATGTTTGTGAAGCTGTTGTTGTAGCACCTTTATCGGTTATTGAGCAGTCAGCTTGAAAATACTGCATGTGCAAACACTGGTAGTCAATTTTTAGGTAGCATTACTGACTGAAACCAGCGTATCAGTTGTTGATGACTGGTGTTACTGTTCGGAGGTGATGACCGAATTTTGGATGACGAATCTCCCGCCGGAGATTACGTCCCGGCCGTTAACATCGTTGGTGATTCCAGGTTCAGATATCTGTTTTGCTTTTTTTCACTTTGCTATACACCTCAGATTTCGTCAATAATTCTATATTTCTATGGCTATTCAGTGCTCTCATAGCGAAGGAATTTTAGGAATTGCTGCTTTCAAATGGTAACAGGTTCTTTTTTTGGTTTGGTGGGGAGTAAGAGAAGTGTAAGTGGCAAAACTTTTTTTTCTATGAATAATGGGTTAAGTTTGAAAAATGTTGTATAATTGAATAGGGGAAAGTGAAAACGTATTTTTTGCTTTGCTCATCTATGCTGAAACGTTTTGATAAAATTGAATTCTATAAAATTTTTTAGCTTTGTTTTGTTGTTATAGTTTTTGGTTTCTTTTTTAGGTTTTCTGGGGTGGTAAAGAATAGAAAATTTAGTTTGTAGAAAACGATGAAAAGAAATTTTTTGAGAACTGCATTGGTAAAAGTATTGTTTTTAAATTATATTGAATTATTAACGTGACATGTTAGTTTAGGAGTTTTTTTTGCCTTTTTTTTCTTTTGCTTTTCTTTTAATCAACTAATTTGGAATTCTAATTTGAAAAACAGAGAGAATTTATTGCTCTTCTTCTTGGAGTATTGGAATGGGAGAAGTTTTTTCTTCGTTATGTAGCTTATTAAAAGACGAAAAATAAGTTTTCTTTGATGACATTTTTACATCATCTTTTACGCCCGCGGCTCTGAGTTTTTTTTTGTCTTTATCCTGTCTCATAAGAAGTTTGCACAAAATTGCTGAATAGGAGTATTGGAATAATCTTGTTTTGGCTCTAAGTTGAAACGGTTCTATTGGTGATCTGTTGAACCGATACCTATTAGTTTCTTGGTATATGAATATGTTTTATGAAATCAATTTCAAAGAGCAGCTAGCATACTGGAACATCTATCTGTTTGCTATACGTCAAATTCAATTAAAACTTAGTGCTGAGAAGCAATCGAAGGATCATCAGTGCCTTTATTGAGTTTTTTTGTTTAAGGTTCCCATGATTCATGCGCCAACGTTCTCTTTGCGCAGTATCCGGTTGCCAATGATGCCACCAACACCATCCAGCGGTTTGGCCGTATGCCGTACGGACGACAAATTATTCGACGTTGGGCACTTACACAACGTCTCAATATGTGCGAACAGCTGGAAGCAGGGATCAGATATTTTGATATGCGAATCTCAGTACCAAACTGCAGTTTGGTCAAAGGTATACGGGTATTACATGCACTTTATGGCAGAGAACTTCAAGCGGCGCTTACAGAAATAAATGATTTTTTGAAAAAACATCCTAAAGAAGTAATCATATTGGATTTCAATCACTTTTATAATTTTGATACAGAATCTTGTAAAAGTTTTTTAAAAATTCTTGAAAGTTCGTTTGGTCTGAATCGTTTTTGTCCAAGACGCCAGGCAACGGAGGTTTCACTGAACTATATGTGGGAGAATTCATATCAAATTATTGCCATTTGTGCAAATTTAACGTGCACTGGCGAAACAAACTGGGTTTGGGGTTCTGAATGTATCCTTAGTCCGTATCCGAATGTTAATCGACTTGATTTGTTGTTTCAAATTCTTGAGGAAACCATGAAACATCATCGAGAGGCTCCGTTAAACCGTTTTTACGTAACACAGGCAATTTTAACTGCGCGAATTCGAGATGTTTGTTTACATCTGTTTTCGTCGCTGGAGGAAGTATTTGCTCGAAAATGTACTCAAAAAGCTATTACGTGGATCTCTGATTATCCAAAACCGTCATCTTTTAATATCATTATATGTGATTTTGTTGAAATCGATAACTATTGTAAATCTGTTATTGGCTTGAATTACAAAACTGATTTGTGATCTACTAAGCGCAGCAGTGTATGGTTTTTTTTTTTT